AAGGAGGAGAGTTCTTTGTTAGTATGTAAATCGTGTACATTATTTTTGTGTATCCCTAATTTAATCTAATCGTCCTGATTGTAAACAGAGAGACAACAATTTTGACGTAGCTTGTATTTTACAAATTTCTGACTTACAAAAAAAATATTATTTTCTACCCAATTTTTTTATTTCTTCACTAAGAAAAGGAATGAACTAAAGAGGCTTATATATGGGGGCCTATCTCGTCTGTAATGATCCCTCGAAAATATTTTTAATTTGGAGTATTTTGTGACGTAATCGATGAGACATATTTCTTTGCAGAGTGCAAAGAATTGTTCCTCTATTTTTGCTTCTGCGAGAATTGCCCGCCGGAGTTCATCTCTGTTTTTCGAAGGACTTTTCCCTTGGATGAAAATTCTTTCAATTATATGAAATCGCCCCATTTTTGTATATATTGTCGACTTGCTATTGGAGAATGGAGTTTCTTTATATTTGGATGGTAGATCCTCATCGAAAAATCTTTGGTTGGAGGTTTGGATCTTTTTTGTGTATTGCACCATTGCATGTAGGTGCGGGTTTCCATTTTCATGGAACTCTCTTGCAACCAGTATGTAGTATGGTAGGCAGGCTAGTCGGAGAAGCGATTGCAAGAGATCTAGGAGTTGTTCTTTTGGGCAATGGCATTGTGGCCATGTGAGGAAAATATTTTTTGCATAGAAACGAAAAGAGGCTTGGCGAGGCATTTTGCAATGGAGAATAGTAAACTCACACCAGCCGTACACTCACACTAGCCGTACAAGGCCTCCCTATTATATAAAAAACTTGGTGTGAATAGTGTGAGTTAGTGTGACGTGGGGAGGGGCGCTGTATTAATATTACCAGTCCCCCCCATCCCTAGCTGAATCTGGGCCATCCATTCAAGGAGCTTGGACATGTATATGGTTGTAGTGTAAAGGAAGTCACACTCGGGCCCAGGTGTGAGTGTTGTGAGTACTTTAGATTTCTTATGGGGTAGTGGTTTACACGTGTCACATGTATAATGGTTTGTGTGGTTGTAAAGTAAGGATAAAAATAAACTGGCTAACAAAAAGCAAAGGTGTGAAAATGATTGTGTTTCTGAATTATTTTGAATGGAGAATTTTTGTACTTATTCACAGGGCAATTTTGCTATTTATTTGGTTCCAAAAAACATTTGATGGTGTAGAGGAATATGCTTTTGTAATGGGATAACTATTGTGGTGACTTTGTTTTCTGGTATCTTGTTTTGTCCCTCATTTTTTGTCTTTCTTTGTTGTTGATTGTTTTGGTATACAATGTTGTACTCTTTAGAAAAGTATCTCGAGAATTACGAGCAGTTTATTCAAATGTATGTAGCTCATTTTTTGACATGGCAAATAAGACTTTGGGAAAAGAGGCGACTGTCAGCTCCGGCGAAGTTTGTTCATGGGTATGAAAAATAGGGGACAAAGTTTACTCTAACTAACCCACTTGCATTGGGGGAGCAAATGGAGTAATATTTTATTAATATTTTATCAACCTTAATAAAGGAGGTGAATTGCCTTGAAGGTACTGCTAATGTGTCTTTCAATTTGGCTAATTGGACTCCTCATTTGGGGAATTTTTTGAAGCTCAACTATAATGTGGTTGTTTAGAAATACTCTTCTCAAAGTGCAATTGATGTTCTTTTAGGAAATGCTCATGAAAATCTCATTGATGGAATAGCCAAGTATGTGGCTATTTCATCTGTTCTACAAGGTGAAGCACTTACTATTCGGCTGGCTTGCCGTGTGGCATAAGTGCATAACCTTTTGAATATTGAGATTGAAGAACGAGAAGTCAGTCATACACCTCTATGTGTCTAAAATTGTTCCCTCTTGTGAGTGCAGTGTTGTCCTTGATATCAAAAGCATGGCAAGGCAAGGAAATTCTTTATTCAAGTGAAGTCTTCAATTGACAAATTAGGCAGTTTATTGGATAACCCAATCGCTTTTGCAAGGTGATTTACTATTTTCATGGGTGTCTTCTCCCCTCTCGTGGTTTAGTAAGGGCTTTGTCTTTGTAATTGTTTGTTTGGCCTTCTTAGTTTATTAGTTCAGAGAGAGAGAGAGAGACTTGATTGGAAGTATGAGGGTTTAAGTGTCACTTTTTAAAGGTTAAGGGCCAAAGTGGAATAGCGTGTAAAGTGCAAGGGTACCAAGTGTAATTTTTCCTAAAAATTAAAAAGGAAAATTTGAGTACGTATGTCATATACCCAATACATATGTAGAACTACAAAGTATTAATACTTGATAAAGATAGATGTTTGTAGAAGTAGCTTGGTTCATAAAGTAGATAATAGTTAATGGTGATGTTATTCCTAGAGGGGGGCTGCTGAAGAGCCTCTCTCTTTAAGTGATTTCTGATGCCTCTCCAATGACTTTATGGCATGTCTCTGCCGAGCTCCCAAAATACTTTCAAAGAGTAGATCTAGATTTTATTTTATTTTATTTATTTATTTATTATGTCTAGGAAGAAGGGTTTGAGAGTTTCTCTCCCGATTTTGAATTTTCTACACTTATAATGATTCCCTTTTCTCTCAATCTTCCTTCCATACTATTGTGAGTGTTCTTCCATTTCAATTCTGGCTTCTGGCGGTGACCGAAGTACAACGACTACAACAGTAGAGTTGGGTAGCGATGATAAGGACAACGTCGACAGCAACGGTAACAGCAACGACAGTGGCATGTTTGACGTAGATCTTGATTTTCCAAACCACATTTGTTAGAAGATTAGTGGTTTTGCTTAAATTGTAGTTATGTTTTTTGATGGCTTTGTAATTTGTTATTTGTAACGCTTGTTACGTTGTTTGTTTGGCTCTTTAAGGTCATGTTATTATTATTATTTTTTAAATATAATTGCTTTAGATTTTTTTTTCAAAGAAAAAGATAGTTAGTGGTTAAATGATAATCAAGGCTAACTAGCTATTCAATTTATAGTGAGTCTAGTAGTGATCATCATTAGCGTCTTCAATGAATATTGCACGAGATCATAAAATGAACAGTACATGCTAAGACTAGCCAACCAAGCACTGCGAATGATATCATGGGAAGCCCAATATATGATAAATGGAGAAGCCCAATATATGATAAATGTGAATGATATAATGGGAAGCCCATCTTCTCAATCCTGAGCTTGGATTCTGAAACCTAGGCTGTGTTGGTCCATTAATTTGAATAACGGTTCGAAAAAACAAAAAGAAAAAGAAAAAGAGAAAAAGATATGTAAAATATAATTATATTTTAGGAGATTTTTTTTTAAAATCCTTGATATTAAGATTTTATAAGATAAAAGACATAATATTTTCATAGTAGTTAAGGTCTCTCAACATTTCTACACAGAAAATTCGATTAAGAGAAATTTTACTCGACTTGGAGAAATTTCGCCCCGACTCATAGAAATCTCAATTTTCACAGAGAAATTTTGAAATCAAAGAAATTTCAAAATTTCTCTGTGATTATACTAGATAAATTTGAGTCGGAGTCGAAATTTTTCTGAATTTATTGAAATTTTTCTGATTTTTCGCACAGAAATTTCTCTGTGATCATACCAGAGAAATTTTGAAATTTCTCGGAGTCGGATGAAATTTCTTTGAGTCGAATTTTCTTTGTGAAAATGTTGAGAGATCTTAGCTAATAAAAAAAAATATCTTAAGCCTCTCATACTGCGCAAAATGAATGTTTCATTAATTTTCTCTATATCTTATTTACATTTAATTAACTTTTTATTTTGATTTTTTTTTCAAATCTTTATTCAAATAGATCAACCACACACTGTGCCAATAAGATTGGTAATTTTCTTGAGCTCTGTTCCATTGTGGCTTCAACGGTTGTTGTTTGCACTTGCACATATGATGAGCTAAGAAATTATTGTTTCGTTCATTCGAATAAAATAATTATTTTATTAAAATATTTATTATTATACTTGATTGATTTAAAAAAAGGAAAATGTTAATAAGTTAATATTGAAAAGGTAATGACAAATATAAAAAGATTATAAAGTGTTTTAAAATTTATAATATATATATATATATATATGTTAGATTTAATAATAAATGTCTCAAAATTTGTATATTTTTTTTGTCTTTTTCTTGTACCATAGGGAACTTGTTAACAAGACCCTACTTGATTTAATTGAATAAAATGAAAAAGTTAGACCTTCCTATGTTTGGATCATATGTAGGAATTTTAAAATGAAAAAGAAAAAATATAAGTGATATGTGAATGAAATATAATTGTATTTTAGTTACATTTCATCCACTTTTTTTTTCCTTTTTTTTTTAACCTTTTTAAATATCTACCTAAATTCATGATCTAAACGCAATCTAATAAATTGATATTATGCTATGTTCGGATTATGAATTTGCGTAGAAATTTTGAAAGGTAAAAAGAAAAGGTAGATGAAATGTAACTATTTCATTTATATTTTATTTACCTTTTTTGTTTTTCTTTTTTAAATTTCTACTAAAATTTATATCCAAACACATGAACCTAAGTTCTAATTATTTCATTTCATTCCACTCAACCAAATAAAATTAAGTGTTTTGATAACAAATCCAGTTTTTTTTAATTCAATATTCCGCTTCCAAATGAACTTTTGTTAAGTGTTTTCATTACAAATCCAGTTTTTTTAAATTAAATATTGAGCTTCCAAAATGGATTTTTGGATTTGTCATATATGACTAGACTACTAATTAAAGGGTTTGGATCCGCATTGTTGTGTTGGCTTTTGGGCCTATTTTAGAGCCCAAATAAATAATTGGAACGATTTATTTCTAAATTTATTTCGGAATTTACTTATATGATTTAAACCATTCATTTTTTAAAGGAGAAGAACAAGTTCATAAAAAAATCAAGTTGATTCTATCATAAAATCATATTACATGTAAAAAATAAAAATAAAAACAAAAAACAAAAAGAGAATAGTAAATATAATTTAAAGTATAAAACAAAATATAAATGTGATTTGATGAAAGAGATATCAATATCCGATCAATTTAATTTTGTTTAGATATGTTTTAATCGATGTATAGCAAAATGTGAATGATTCAGATCATTTAAATGAGTCCCAAAATGAATCCCGTACAATAATTGTTGCTGTGCATTTCTAAATCCCTCATTAACCCTATTTTTGGTTCCATGAAAAATAACGAAGGCAGTAATACTATAAATTTAAGGTTAACTATTTAAAAATGGGGTATTTTTTTAAGGTCCTTGATATTATGATTTTATAGTAGAAATGACATCAAATAGAAAATTCAAGTCAGAGAAAATTAGTTCAGAGAAATTCTTTATTTCTTTGGACTTCCCTAAACTTCCAACTGTAAATTTCTCTGCCCCCTTTTTTTTTTTTTTGAACATGAGAATTCTTCTACCTCAACTCACTTCCTTACTTCTCAAAGGTGAGGAAGAAAGGCAACAATACAATATTATATACATACTTTCCATTATCAAATCCCTGCTAAGGTTTCCTATGTCCTCAAACATTGATAGCCTGCTCTCAGCAACAAGTTACAAAATTCTCTGGTTTGGTTGGTCTGAATTATCTCTATGTTGTTGGACTGAATTTTCTCGCGGTTGAACCCGAAGAAATTTGAATTTTCTCTAAGTTGGATGTGTATATAAGAACCAGTTTGTGTGTATACTTTTAAAAAAATCAAAATAGAAAGCACGCCGGGATTGAAAAACCTGAAAACACACTCAGATTTCTTCTTCCTACGGTAACGAGTAGCCATTGGATTAAACTGACCAAACTCTCTCTCTCTCTCTCTCTCTCTCTCTCTCTCTCTGAAATAGTGATAACAACTGATTCTTGGTTACTCCAATGGGTTGATGATTGAGTACTGAAACAGAAATTCAATGTAACAGTAGACTATACATGGAAAATTGAATGAAATAGAGAAATGAGTATTGAATATTCACCTGATAGAGAGAGATTGATTTGGTTTTGGAGCTCAAATCAGTGGTACGAATCAGAGGAAGTAGAGGACGGCTTGTCGGAAATGTCGTTGTGCTCCTCATCTTCACCCTGAATTCGTGCTGGAATGCGAAACCCGGAAAATCCACCGACCGAGGTGAATCTGATTCCCGGGAACGATGATGGGTAGATGGACAGGCTTTGATAGTGGTGGTGGTGGTCGGCGACGGTGGTAGATCGGAGGGAGGAGTCGGAGGAGAAGGTGTTGAGGAAGAGGTCGTAGAGGATGGTGGAGGAGCAGAGCTTTGTTGCCTTGGATCTGCAAGACAGTGGGTGAGAAGAGGAGAGAGAGAGAGAGAGATAGTAGAGTAGAGACAGAGTGAAATTTCTCTTATATATGTTTAGGGACCTTAGACATTAAAAAATAATTTTGTGGATCTCTTTCATTATAAAAAGTGGGATAGGGAACCTAGACCAATTTTCCCTTTAAAAATTATCTAAAATTATTTTCTGATGATTCAAATTTATTTTATATTTCCGCGTTACATAAATTCAAGCCACACAATTTCCACTGGGGATAAATTTGAGAAACGGTCCAAGCCACACAATTTGGTCTTCTCTGGGTCGTCGTCTCCGCCAACTGAATGAAAGAAGAGAGAGAACCATGGAAGCTCTGCATAGGCTTCGAGTTGCCCTAGTGCTCTCAGTCGTGGCACACTTCTCTCTCCTAGCCAAATCTTCTTCTTTCTCGTCGCAGGAGTTTCAGATCGTCAATGTCGAAAGCAGAGTAAGCTCTCTCAATTCATCAAATTTGTCTCTCATCTATCTATATATATATCGCATCAGAATGAGTTCCTGTAGCAAATTGAGCTACATTTCTTTCACCTTAGGCTTTGGTCTTTTAGATAGTATGATGGAATTTGGCTTTGTTTGTTTCTGAAATAAAACCTTCCAGGTTCGTTTGGCCGCTAAGAAAATGAAGGAAAAGAAAAGAAACTGAATTTGTTTATCTCATGTAGTCTAAATTTCTCATTTTTCCCAGTTTCTAGAAAATATACGATGAAATAAATCAAAGTGTAAAAAGTTGTTTCAATGGTTACAGAGCTTGAACTCAAGTTTAAACGGTTACAGAGCTCGAATTTTGAATATTTCGATTTTTCAGAAAGAAAGCTATGGAGTTTATTTTCAAAAGGTGTGCACATTTATAATGAAAAACAATGAGCTGTGACTTCTTGTTAACCAGATTGCCCCCAACTGTGAGTTCTCCCAAATTTCAACAAAAAAATGGAATTTTTTTTCTTGTAATCTATAGAAGAATGAGTCCTTTTTTTTTTTTGGGTATGATTTTCACAAATTTTGTTTACAAAAAATATGTAAACATATAAAATGTTCATCAATTTAAAAAAAAATAAAATTAGTTGAATAGTTCCATAAAATCAATAAATAAATAAAAATAGAGAGGAAAAGAAAATACCTTCACTATTTATGATGGATGAAAGACGAGAGAAGATCAATAATGTTGAGTTTTAGGCCTCCAATTTCTCATTCTTTGAAGTTCAATTAATCTTTGAGTGACTCTTATGTGTGGCTAGCTTTTGTTTTGCTCTAAGGCTTATGTTTTGTTTTTTCCCCCAATTTTGAAAGAGGCACGAACAACTATAGATAAGAGATTGGTTGGACCTCAAATTTCTTTGCACTTAGCTTCGTCGGAGAATATTACTTTTTAATTTAGAATTAAAAAGTTAGTAAAATAATCAAATATTCAACAAATTATATAAAAATGTCAAAGATCTTTTTTCCTTTTACTTTTTACATATTTTTTTCTTAAAAAACTAAAAGTTATCTTTTATCTCATATTTTAGTCAAAAAATTAAAAAATTATTAAAATAGTTTGTTCTCAAACGAGACCTAAATTTTAAAAGATTTTAGAATATAGGCCTCAAATTTTTGGACTTTTTAAATTTAATTTGGGCTATGTATTAAATAGAATTTTGTAGTGAGTTTTTTTATTTATTTTTATTTTTTTATGAATTTATATTTTAGATTGGGCCTTTTATTTGTTAAAAAGTTTAGAGGCTTTTTATTCATTTAGGCCTTTGAACTTGTACTAATATTAAATTGGGCCCCATTTTTTTTTTAATACACTAGTATGAAATTGGACATATTTTAGGTCCTATTTTCAGCCTTTTTTAAAGGCCCAAAGCGACTGCTTTGTCGTCCTCAAAACCGGGCCTGCAAATTCGTATCCATTTTTCTTAGTTTTTCCGCCCACAAGAATAGAAACACACCCGTAGGGAAATGGGTATGGATTGAATCTTATTAATAATATGGCTTCAGTTGCTTCAGAAGTTTGAAATCACAATCTTGATGTACAGAACACTCTAATACCATAAAAACATCAACAATTTGAAAGTTTCCCACCAAATTTCCAAGGGAATGATGGAATTCCATGTAATACTATTATATTGGGTAAATTATCAATAGATCTTAATAGTTGGAATTAATTCTCACCAAGTCCTATTGAAAATAAATTCAAATAAAATCGTCACTAAAAATAATTTATTGTGACGATTTTTTACATATGGCAATAAAAATTGACAATTAGTAATTTTTTTATTACGATTTTTATAAATTGTTGCTAAAATTTATAATCAGCGATTTTTTTGTGACGAATTTTTCAAATTTTTTAAACTATCCCTGAAAATTAACAATTAGTGACTTTTTTTATAGTATTTTATGAAAAACGCCATTAATTCTCACAGGATCTATTGGACAATAAGTTCACTTAATAAGACCTACATGTAAGTCCTCTTACTATTTAACTACAAAAAATGCACTGCATTAAAAAAAATTTCTTTTTAATTTTTGGAAAATAGTTTCATATTTTGGATGTTGAAACCTTTCAGGCTAATAGATATATATTACATCTAACTGTTTATGTCGATGAAGGGGCTAAATATGAAATGGGTCGGATCCAAGCCTTGAGCTGGCCCAATCCACTAAAGCCCAAATCCAAGCGGGTTAGATGAATATATGGGCAAGCCAATCGAGCCCGACTCCATAATCAACAATCTACCCAAGTCCTCAAGCACTTGGGCTAGACTTGCAGTGGAAAGGCTAGCCCAGCTACGATACTGGGCTAAGGCCAAGCTGCAGGACACATTCTATGGGCCAAACTGATGTGTCGAGCCTGTCATCAGAACTAAAGTGGGGTACACAAAATATCTGAACGGGCCAAACCATTCCAACAGAAGCCTCGTCTAGGGCCGAGCTGGGGCACGAAGGTGCCGAGCTGAGGGAACCTCACAAAGAAACGTAGAAGCCATGAGGATATGCATGTGCAAGTTGCCGCCTCAGCTGGTCCCCTACACCTAGAATCACGGAAATAGTTAAAACCAGAGGAATGTGGTTTGTTATCAACATGACTACAATGAGTATAACCACCTATTGACAACTACCAAATGGTCCCCCACCGAGGGCAATGCTAAAAGGAAACTTGGCAGCACCAAAGTTTCATGAAACCATCTTGGGAGGCAAGCAAGGAGTTCTATATAAACTTCCCTAACTTCACATTGAAGGTGACTGAACTGTTCCAAGCCGAACCCCATTTACTACAAGCTAAACTCTCTACACTTTTTCTCCGATCACTGATTCCCACACCGGAGGGGTTATCCGGCCAACCCCGACTGGGCAACTCTTACGGTGCTTCTTGTGGCAGGAACCTCAATCCTTGGATAGTCCAACTGAGCATGGAGCCCCGATCCACTTTCATCTAGTGCGGAATCCGGTACGCACAATTAGTGCGATGAGCGTGGAACACCTCATCTCTAAGCTCTGCACTCAGTTCCGGCGATGGGAATTGAGGACATCCCACCTTCGACACATACTCCACAGACGGAGAAGACAAGGGACAAAGGCTTACACACGGCACACACATACATTCTGCTTTACACTGACTGTACACTGCTCACACTGTACACTGCAAACAATATACTGCACAACACACGGCTCTGCCATTTCTGCTTTATTCTGTATATCCTGCTTTATCTGATGGTCATACTGACATCTGTTTTGCAGTTGTGGGTTTATGCCTACTTCCCTAGGCTTGCACCTGTGCCAGTTGCGGAGCCTCCTCCGGCTGTCCCGTTCTCGAGTCGCTTCGACGGGAGATGCACCCGGCGACCACGGGAGACATTCGGCTTCTTCCGCCGATATTTCGACACCATCACCCCGGCCGAGGTATGTTTTATTTTTAGTTCATTTAGCTTCGCTTTCCCACTGCATGTTTCAATAACAGTAGATAACAAACTGTCTGTCACTTTCAGATCACATAGCGGCCATGGGCTTCCTTGCCGTCGGCGATGCGGGGTCGGTTCCCTGGTGCTAAGGAGACCTCGCGTTTCCGGGATCTTGCTAGAGGGCCCGGTCTGTCGGGCTTGGTACCTGGGGGAGCGTTTTCTACGCCAGACCCACGGGTTACCTGAGCAGATAGTCCGGGTTACCTGAGCAGATAGTCCCGGCTCACCCTCCTGCAGAGATGAGGGAGACCGAGGGGCTTACCGCTGAGCAGCTGGATGATTTCTCCATCGGCTGGGAGGAGGCCGGCTTCCGAGGCACCGGTGACTATCAGGAGTACGTGCGGACGTACCTGATGCGTCCCTTGAGCGGCCGTCGAGCAGAGGGGGCCAGGCCTGTAGCATCGGCGGCTGGGGCCGGAGCGGGAGCAGGGGCTGGATCTTCGAGGAGGGCCCGGGTCCGTGGTAGGGGCGGAGTGCAGGGAGGATGAGGAGCTGGCTAGCCTGCCCTGCCTGCTGTACTGACTTTCCAGGGGCAGGGTGGGTCGACCTATCAGATCCCCTTCGCCCCTCCACCGGCTGGTCACGAGTTCATCGACATCCCCGACCTACCTCCGGTATGTATCACTGCACTTCGTACAGTCATTTCATTTCAGTTTACTTGATATTCCACAGAATATTGATGCGTCTGATACTTTTGCAAGCTTCTTCTGAGTACACCCGTCAGTCGTTGGCGATGAATGCCTCGATGATGGGGATGCTCCAACGGACTTTTGACCTCCTAGCCGTCTACAGCATACCGGTATGTCTTTCTGACATGGGCCTCAAACCATTCATACACTGCTTTACATAATCTGATTCACGGCACAACATCTGATACACTGATCTCACAGTATCTGACACACTGCATGCACTGCATTCTGCACTGTACTCTGTACTGATAAACTGCTCACGGCATTCTCATACTGCACTTATATACTGCATTCTGCACTGTACTCTGTACTGATAAACTGCTCACGGCATTCTTACCGTATTCATACGCTACATTCTGCACCTTTAAATTGTTCACAGTGTACTGATGCATTTCCATTTTTGTGTACTTTTTCAGCCTCCTTTCCAGATTCCCATGGCAGGAGGTGCTCCGGCCAGGCCTTCTGTCCCTGCTCGGGGGAGAGATGAGGAGGGCAGGATATTTCCCCGTACCAGGGGAGGGCGTACTCACGTCGGGAGTAGCTCGCGAGCTCTAGTCCCGGACGATGACGACGACGAGGAGTCAGAGGCGGAGGCAGGGTCATCGGAGGAGGAGACCGGAGACGGTTCTAGCTCGGGCTCTGACGACGACGCTGATGATGCTCCTGGACCCTCGTCCAGGAAGAGGACCAGGACGGACTGACAGCCCTTTGGAGTTGCTTGACATGGATGCAGATTTTTGTCATCTTTCTTCATTCTTGTACTTTTCTTTTTGTTGGTAGATAGATTACCTTGTACTGCCGCAGGCAGATTTTGTTTCCAAAACTTGTACATTTGAAAAAGATTATGAAATGAACAATTTTTTGCTTAAAAAAGTGTTGCATTTACATATCTCAAGTATTGCATCGCATCTCATCATGTTACACCTCAATGTAAATGAAACTGACTGGTTGTCTGAAAATTGAACACTTGCACTGTAATAATCAGATAACTAAAATAGCCAAGCAACCCACTGCCTGATTCTGGATACACGGCCCTTACTCTGTTGGGGATTAATCTGCATACAGCCCATAACACAACATTCGATTCATTCTACACACGGCAATTCTCAAACAAACAGCCCAATCTGACAAGACGGACCTCAAAGATGGAACCGGTTGGAGTCAAAACACATTCAAATGTAGAGAATGGCACAGCATTCTGAGCATAGATGATTTTTGAAATTGAATGAGGTTTTTTTCAAACCGGGATATCGAGCCTACCACTGAACACAGCGGGGAGGACTCAAACAAAGAGGTACACGACCTAAACATAACAAGACGCGCTCGGGAGAGACTCAAAACAAAAGACGAGACCGTCAAATGAAAGAGACACGACACACAGACGCGTAAACGAAGATGGGGGACCTCGGACCACGAGGAGCCAGTTCAATCTGGGTATTGTTTCCCACCCTTTCTCATTTGTGATCCTCACATCACTCGACTCTCAAGCTCGGATTTTCTCTCAAAACCCTTTTCCTCACTTTTCTCTCAACTTACACCTCTCTATTCTTCAATCTCTCATTTTTCATCCCTCCCCGGGGTGATTGATGGATAAATAGAAAGGTGTGGGTTCACGCCCGATGCCGTTAGCTCACAGCTATTTCTTCCGGCGGGTAGAGTGCCCTTCTGGCAAGTACGTCGATTGACGGGGGAAAGACAGAACGCCTGACTCAACTGTGCCCCTAATTCATCATTTTAACCATTTTTTTCGTTTTTGCCTTCTACTAAAACGGTTTTGATCAAAACGAGAGTCGGATTAACGTACTTGTTCGATTTTTGATTTAAAAAGCATGCAAGT